CATCAATACAAGAGAGGCCATAAGAGACCATCAAAATCAAATACGAGATGTTATTAGTCCCATTATCGCTTGTCCTTTTTTTTTTTTTTTTTTATTACACTCTCAATTCCTCCCTTTCTTTTCCCTTACCTTTTCTTATTCCTTATTTTCCCTTATTTTGTTCCCTCCCTCTTTGCTCTGTCTTTTTCTTTTGCTCTCCCTATCCTTCTCTTTTTTTCTTTCTATTATATCGTTTTTTCTTCTAAATCACTCAACTTCTAGCTTTTATTTTCTTTTGCTTCACATCATTGCCTTTACTTGCTCGTCACAGTGACATACTCTCTCTCTCTCTCTCACTTGCCTTGCTTTGTCTCTGCGTCTCTTTTGTTTCTCTCCCCAACTTTCATTTCTATTAGTGCACTTTTAAAGAAGGAAATATGTATTTTTTTAATTTTTTGTTATTGCACCTCTTGATATGGTAGCTCATAAATATGTATTTTCTATACTTAAATGTGGTTCTTTGTGATCTCTCTTTTTACAGCACAGTCTTCCTACATACTTGAATGAAGTTCTTCAATTTTCACTCAAAAAAATATTTAGGTTTGATTTTTAGTTACGTGCCTAATTTCTTTTATTTCTTCTTTTTTCATTTATTCACGTGTCTAGTTAGGGAGGGCCAGGTAGCTTTTTTATTTTTATTGTTAGCAGAGTCAGTGAATTTAAATAATATATGAAGTACAAGGTAGTAAATTTTCAAAAAATAAAGGATTAGGATCTTAATTTAAAGAAAGTGAAATCACAAAGTTAAACTAAAATTTGCTATTATAATTAATTTATTTGATAATAATGTTGTGAATTTTTAATTTTAGTTGACTTGAATTTTAATCAAATTGATGGAAATAAAAATAAAAAAGTTGGATTTTTAACTTTAAAATTAACTTAGAAACTAAAATCTAATTACGTAAAAATTTAAAATATATTGTAATGCATTTGCAATTAAGCCAAAGAAATTCCTTGAAAGAAAAAGAGCCAAATAAGAAAACTCGAGGGTACTGCTGGCTCCAAGTCAAATGTTGAACCCGCGGTTTGCTTTTTCTGTTTCACTTCCCATTTCTCACATGGCTCCTCCTAGAATTCTACTCTCTGGTGACGTTCTAGGCCGCCTAAACCCACTATTCAAACGAGTTCAATCGGTCTCTCTCTCTCTCTCTCTGTCTCTCTCTCTCTCTCTCGTTCTTCATATGCAAATCATTATGTGCTGGGGCTTAATTTGTTGCAGAGTTCACTCACCAATCGAGTTAACTCACTACAGGTTAACAAATCAGCTGGTCCTTTCGATGCTCTCTTCTGTGTTGGCCAGTTCTTCCCGGACTCAACGGAGCTGCTCGATGAGTTCATGGACTATATTGACGGCCTCTCTCCCGTTCCTCTCCCTACATACTTCACCGGTGACTACGGCTTTGGTGCTCCCAAAGTCCTATCCGTTGCTTCCAAGAACTCTGCCAATCAAGGCTTCAAGATGGACGGCATCAAGATTTGCGATAACTTATTCTGGTTGAGAGGCAGCGGCAAGTTCGAATTCCACGGTGTGACTTTAAAACAATATGATATGTTTCTCTGTTGGTTGAATGGAAATTACTAGAATTTCTCTCCAACATTGCCTTAATTTACGTGATGTTTGGATTAGGTTTACGGATTAAATTAGATTTTTTTTTTGTTACATTTAGGTCCGTAATTGGTAGACACTTTCATCTCAGCCAAAAACTTAAGTCCTAAATTAGTTGATAGCTTCGTTAGGCGGTGGCTTGACTAGTGGTCCATGGTTTTAGGCAATTTTCCATCTTAGCTGATGTTTGTGCTCATATTTAGGTTTATCTGTTGCTTACTTATCTGGTAGACAATCGTCAGATGGTGGACAGTTTGGAATGTATAGTCAAAATGATGTGGATGCATTGCGAGCATTGGCTGAGGAACCTGGAATAGTTGACTTGTTCTTAACATATCCTTTGCTTACGTATCAAATTTCAAAATTCTTTATTCATCTTCGTAGTACCCCATTCATTTTGTTACTCTTATTGGTTGTTTCCTTAAAAAGTTAAAACTAATGAATGGCCAAGTGGGGTCACGGGCGGAGCTGCTTCATCTGATATTCCTCCAGCACTATCTGATTCATCTGGTAGTGATTCCATGATTTCTGAGTTGGTAGCAGAGATTAAACCACGGTATGTGCTGGATGGGGACAAAAAGGACTCTATGTATGACTATAATAAAGGCTAACTGGACTTATTGCTTCTTCTCGGATTGTTAATGCTTAGAGTGTGCTGAATTCTTTTCACTCTTTAAATGATATTGTCTTTCTGTATTTGCAGAATTTCTGTTGGAAAACATTTGTTATCTCAGGTTTTTCAGAAAAGATTCTGATTATTTTTATTACCACTTAGCTCTTTGCTTTTGTGATACAGCCATGGACTTGTAATTAGCTCATGTTTTAGCCTCTCAGAGGTCATGGCATTAACAATGTCCTTTTACCTTCTGGTTTAATAGGAATTAGTTACACTTTCGCTTGCAAATAACTTATGGATCAATCTTTCCTTTTCTGATTAGAGTTTATCCTCTATGGTAGTTATCACATTGCAGGTTCAAGGGGAGTATTTTATGCCCGCGAACCTTACTCTAATGTTGATGCTGTGCATGTGACCCGATTCTTGGGTCTTGCATCTGTTGGAAATAAAGATAAACAGGTTTGGTTGTTTTACTTATGTTTCATTGTTTTATTATCTTAGGAGGTTCTTATTGATGTATATTTCCATATTCATCATTTTTAGTTGAGAACTTTAGCAATCAACATGTACTTATTCAGTATTTATAGCTTGACAGAAAGAAGGCTTAAGCTGTGATGTTACAAGTCAACTACTTACATGGCTGTGTTTAGGCTGAAGCAGTAGATCTGACTCCTAAGAAATAAAAGTTCACAACAGATTTATTGTCAGTATACAAGTACAACATAAACTTCATGCAAAATGCCCATGCACATCTTGGCTATTGCTTCGTTCCCTATGGATTTGGAGGCTACAGTTTTTTATCCTCGCTACTTTTTAAGTAGTGGTTTGTGAATTGTGATTATGTTCTTCTCGTAGGATTAGTTTCTTCATTGATGCTTCTTAAATGCAAGCTTGCTCCTAGAATCTACTGTCAGCTTGTGCACTCCTCTTACGCTGCCCCCCCCAACCCAACATACTGTAATTTATTTCAGCCTTGTACATTTTATAACTCTTGTGTCATTCATATGCTTCACAGAAATTCATTCATGCAATTTCTCCAACACCGACATCAACCATGTCTGCTGCTGATCTTAGTGCAAAACCACCTAACACTACCATATCTCCATACATGTTAGCTGGGCAAACAAATGTTCCTAAAGAAGCCACAAAGAGAAGTATTGAAGATGCTTCCGATTCACAGTATTGGAGATATGATGTCTCAAAAAAACGACAAAAGCATGGAGCTGGAGATGTTGATAAGCTTTGTTTCAAATTTATATCATCTGGTTCTTGTCCCAGAGGCGAAAGATGCTATTTCCAACATGACGTGGATGCAAGGGAACAATATTTGAGAGGTGTTTGTCTTGATTTTATTATAAAAGGAAACTGTGAAAAGGGTCCATATTGCAACTTTAAGCACAAGTTACAGGATAAAGACGACAGCCATTCCCTCAGGAGACCTAGATCTGAAAGTGTAAACCGGTTGGTGTTCTATGGACGGTCTCCTTTATATATTCTCTAGTAGAAAGAGAGTTTCATACTGAGCTAATTTTGACATTATATGTTTCTGCAAATGATTATCTAGTATGGGTATTTATTTTATAAATTCTCCTTAGTTTTATGGCGCTATAGTTTTTTATAGACTTCAATGCTGATGATGAGTTTTTGTTCTTTTCAGGTCAAAAGAATGCTGGTTTTTGTTTATCAAGTCCTAACGTGGAGTCACATCTAATAATTAGCATTGGAGAAAATTTTTATTGTGCTCTGCCTAAAGGCCCACTTGTTCAAGATCATGGATTGATAATTCCTATTGAACATTTGCCTAATACATTTTCTGTACCAACAGAATGTGATACTGAGCTGTGTAGATTCCAGAATAGTCTGAAGATGTATTATAAGAGGCAGGGGAAGGAAGCTGTTTTCTTTGAGTGGGTTTCTAAACGTAGTACTCATGCTAACCTCCAGGTAAAATAAATTTCTGTTGCAAATGTCTTACAATCAAACCTTGAACTGCTTCTAATCCAAGGCCATGCTGTCTTGTTGTTGTTTGTGCAGAATGGGTGTGACTGTTGTTTCTTTGTTACCAAATTCCTTTTTCTTTTTTTGAAATGAAAAAAAATGTATATGTATACATATTTGCAAGCACCAAGGAGGTACAACTCGTATGCAAAATTTACATATTAAGTAAAAATCTATAAGATCTGTAAGATCCTTCCAAAAATAAAGAAAATGACCCTTAATCAAAAAATCTAGGTTCTGGAGGTAGGTATCTTAAAATTTGTCAAAATTCGACTTATTCCAAAAACTCTCCTATTATTTCCTTCCAAATAGCACAAAAGTAGTCAAGGGAATAGACTTGACCTCTTATCCCTATTGGCCCCTTTTACACGCCCTAATCTCGTCCCTTATTAAACCAACTATCATCCAATCGATACCCAACAGACCACAAACTGAAGTCCACAAACAATAGACAAAAGGACTCCATGATAAGAAATGGTTATACAATTCTAGATACTCTTGCACAGGTGACAATCATTAACCAATATCCTTCTTTCCCTGATCAACTTATCCCGTGTAAGGATACATTCTCTAGATGCCTCCCAACCTAAAAAGCCACCTGAGGATGCCTTAACCTTCTAGATCAGTCTTGTAGGTAGCTCCATATTAGTTTCATTCTTCTTGGTCAAATGTGTATAGGAGATCTTCACAATAAAAATTCCCTTTTGAGTTGAGCATCCAGATGGATGATCCTTATCCTGATTAGGGATACAATTGGAAATAAACACCAGAAGAGATTTATACTCATTGACCTCTCAATCACTGAGTTTCTAGAAACCTCCACAACCCACGAGCTGTTTCCCCCATAACCTCGAAAGCGTCATGGACATTGGCCTCATTATGTTAAAATGCACTAGATTCTTAAAGCATCTGCAATTTGTTTGTACTGCATTTGTGGACATTGGCCTCCATGTGCATGGTTTGAGAGGTTTGCAAAGGGGATGATTACAGGTGAAGGCAGAAAAAATCAGTGTGATAAAACCCTATTTATCGAACATTTTTATGCAGGGAAAGTACTGAACTACTTGGTTATGTGGACAACACTATTGAGACTGTAAATCATGTTAAGGAACCGGAAAGGTTGAAGTTGTGTATGGGGAAGGAATTTGAAATAAAGGAACTTAGAAGGCTAAACTATTTCCTAGAAATTGAGGTGGCTTGGTCCAGTTGAGGAATATTTGTCTCACAACTAAAATACATTATTGATTTACTATATGAAATGGGAAAAATGGGATGCAGGCCAGCTAACACGAATTAAAGGCTTGGAGAAGTGAGTGAAGATAAGGCTGTCGGTAAGGAAATGTATTAGAGGTTAGTTGGCATACTAATTTATCTTTCATAGACTCTACCATAGGTATGCAATGAGCATGGTAAGTTCATGCGCAATCTGTAGAAGGTTCATTTACAACCAATTTGCAAAGTTCTCTGCTATTTAAGAGCCAGACCAGTGAAAGGAATATTGTTCCGGAATGGGACAAAGTTAACATTAGAAGTGTATTTTGATTTTGATTATGTAGGTTCCATCGTTGACAGGAGATCAACATCGTGATACTGCACTTTTGTTGGTGGCAATCTGGTAACTTAGAGAAGTAAGAAATAGATTGTCTTAGCAAGATCAAATTCCAATTGTTATAGCGCAAGATCATCCCATAAAACTCAAGGATCAAGCGGCAAAGACCAATGAGGTTGTACTGCGGTAGCAAGTTGGCTACTGACGTTGCTCATAATCTTGTAAAACACGATAAAATCAAACATGTGGAGGTGGATAGGCACTTCATAAAGAATTTAGATAGCGGGCTGGTATGTACTCCACATGTATCTTCAAGAAGCGAACTAGTAGATCTTCTAACAAAAGGATTGGCCAATGCCTCATTCCAAATTGAGGTTGAGGTATGTCAAGCTCTGTGGCTAAAGAGATTTGGATGTGCATTGGCATCTTGGAAGCAACCAGTATAAGAAAAACTCATCTCCTTTATCCCCCTAGCTACCATGTAGTTCATTTGGAAGGAAATAGAAGGACTTTTGGGAGCGAAGCTTTTCAATTTAATTGAGTTAGGAATTCTTGGTTCCAGCCCTAGGCACACTAGGTTTTTTTTTTTTTTTCTTTAAAAGTCATCCTCTCATTTCTGACGAGCATTTGAGGTACCAAATTGATATTTAAATTGCTTTGTAAAGAACTTGCACATGAGTGACATCTTTTTTATGCCCTCTTTATATATAGCTTATCCTTTTTCTTCTAATGTTTTTTTTTTTTCTTCATAAATGCATAGTTACATATATAAACATGTTTCAGTATGTTTGTCTGAAAATTAAAGTAATATATAGCTTATCCTATTTTTTCTTGTATTTACATTAAGTTCTCCTTTCTTTAGGTTGTTCCTATTCCATCTACCAAGGCCTGTGGTCTTGAAAAATTATTTACTTTGGCTTCTGAAAAGTTGGGTTTTAAGTTTGTGGCCGGGAAAGGTACGCTTTATTATTCTAATTCTCATGTAAAGGTATTCCTTTTTGACTTTCTTATCTTTTGTTCGGAAAAGATAAAGAATATGTAAAGAATTTTAGAAATTGTGAATTGATTCACTTCAATGATGCATTAAAGTGAATTAATACATATTCAAATAGATAGAATTCTATATAATATATAGAACGGTAAGTTAAATATGGTTTTTCCAATTCCTGCATGAGATTCCAGATTCTTTTCTTGAAATCTGGCATTTAAGTGTAAATTTTAATCTTTTGCTAGAACCAGTAGCCCATCAATTGGACTTAATAAATTTTAATCTCAACCTAGTATCCTCTGTCACAATTCTACTGTTAAGTCTATTGTTTCTGTTGCTATATCTTCATTCTAATGTTTCTCCTACAGTTGGTAGTGGTTCCGATGGGAGAAAATTCTTGAGGACAGAGTTCGATAAGAATTTTAGCTTCTTTTATGTGGAACTTCCTGATGGTACAATATTGTTCCATATGCTTGAAGAGAACAAGAAATTCCCATCCCAATTTGGACGTGAGGTGATCTTTAAAATTCTTTCTTCTGCTATGCTGCATATGATTCATTTCTCATTTATTCCTAATGAATTCCTAATTCTAGCTTTAATATCAGTCTTTATGCATAATGAGAACAAATCTCTTCTGTTATGAGTTACCACTGCTCTGCTTTAAGTTGTATGATGGAGGAAATTCAATTCCCAACTTAAAACATGAGGATTGAATTTCCATTGTTAAAAAATTCAAAGTGTGCTTGTGGGTCGTTTTTAATTATTCATATTTAGAACATGAGAATTAAAACTAGGATTTGATTAGAAGAATAAAAAATACCAAACCAACCATATTGTTATATAATGGGAAATCTAAATTGCCTAAACTGCGAACTGCAAAAAATATCTGCAAGTTTTCTGTTGGTTGGTATTGATTCCTTGCAAGTACAGAGGAATGGCAAATGGTTTGTTTTGTTTTTCAATTTATATTTTAGTTTCTGCTTGTGGTAAATTTAAATTTGATTTCTTAAATATTCCTTTCATGTAATTATTAACAAACGATCTCTTACATTGATAATCTTTTCTATTTTGAGAATTTCGTAAATCAGAGGTTTAACAACACTATCCTTCTATTTAGTTAAATTCTTCTTCCATTTCTATCTAATTCCCATTTAATTTTCTTTTCGTATTAGTCTTGATTAGTCACAACATGATTTTTATATTTAAGCTGTCTCCACCTTTGAATTCTTTTGGATTGGATTTCAGTCATTTTCATGAGAAATTAGAATGTCACCCTCAAGGAATCAATGTGGTACGAATTGAGTTTTAACATTTTTTATTTGAAATTGAAAGAAAGTCAATTAATTATTTATTCTATATTTAAAATAATTTGTTGTAATTTCGGAATTAATTATTTATTTTACATTAGGATGATTGGTTGTAATTTTAGGATATAGGAATATTCTATAATATCTTGTAAATTTTCTATATTTAGAATGATTAAATTAGGATAGCAGAATCCCATTAATTAGGTCTGTATATTTCTCTTACTCGGCTATATAATGTCGTTGTACATTATTCTCTTTTCAAGTGCGAAGATTATTCAAATCAGTATAATATAGATATAAGGTTTTTTTCTCTGCTAGTCTCTTTTATGGTATCATAGTAAGGAAAAAAAAAAGGAACTAGTAAGTTGAGATAACCATGTCAGGGATAAGAGGAATGATTCGGAGGCTCAATCTAGAGCTTCTCAATCTGTTTCCACAATTGTTCCTATTGTTATTATAGAAAATATTTCTTATAACTTACAGATCACCACTCAAAAATTAAATGAGAAGAATTTCTTAGAATGGTCTCATTTGGCAGCTTTGGTGATTAGGGAAAAAGGCAAAATAGCCTTCATAGACGGTTCCTCTCCTTGTCCGGATGTTGATGATCCCTTGTATGTATTATGGGACACTAACAATTCCTTAGTCATGGTGTGGTTAATTCATTTTGTGGAGGATGAGATAGTTGAAACCTATCTTTTTCATTACACGGTAAAAGAGATCTGGGATGCCATTACTGAGTCTATTCTAATTTGAAAAATTCATCACAATGTTTTGAATTACGAACTCGCTCACGCAACCTTCGTCAGTGTGATATGGATGTAACTCTATTATAGCAGCTTGCGAAAATTGTGGCAAGAGGTTGGCATGTTTCATTCAGCCCCTGGAAAGATCCTATCGATGCTTACCTTTTCAATAAACTAATCCAAAAAGATCATATATATAATTTTT